TTTAAAGAAATATTTAGAAATAATATTAAAAACTTGTAAAAATAAATTGTGAAAAATATTAAAAAAATTTTTTTGAAATTTCAAAGAATAGATATAGAATTTTACGAAAATTAAATGAGAGAAAATAAAAATTTACAATCCTAAGATGTTGAGATAACTAGACTTCAGATTTTAAAGATTGTGTAATTTTGAGAAAAATAAATAAGATAGTGGCCTGAAAAGTGGTAAAGAGCTTGCGAAACTGATTTAAATTCTTGTAATTTTAATAGAAAAACAAATTTTTGAAAAATTGTAAGATCAGAAAGTGAGAACTGGAAACTTACAAGATTTTAACATCGTTCCATCACATTTAGAAATATTAAAAAATTGAATTGATTTTTTGTGTTTTAAAATCATTTCAAACCAATTATTCCAACTGGAGAATTTAGTCTTTAAAGTTCTCCAACCAAAAACCAGTCGTAAACCATCACCATTATTACCAAAAACCCCACCATATCAAACCCATTCGTCTCACTTTATTGTTTTCGGCACAAACAAAAGGAAATAATCCAACCTTGAAAAACTCGGTTACTAGAATCGTGGTGTCATTTTATTATTGCCGGAAATAATCCTTGTTTCACGACCAAGTGCTTCCATCAAAGGTAAAATGACCCAACCAAGAACCCACCTAAAAAATTTTAACCATCTATTACCTCAGTCCAAAACTTTTGAATGAAACCACCTTTTTTCCAATTACTTGAGGTGTAAAAACTGATCCGTCAAGTGTGCATCCTGTTAAATTGGCCCTAATTTAATTTTCAAAAAAGCGGTGACTTGATTTATCGGTTCGGCGAATGACTCGTCAACAAATTGCTTTAAAATCGCTTCCTGTCTTATCAAAAAACCCAATCAAAATTGCTAATGATAAGCAATTATACAACAATTAAAATTGCGGTCACGCAAAATTCCCCTGTATTCGAAAAAGTCAAACCATGAGAACACTTATCTCGCTTTTCATTTTGTTTTTTTTTACTGTTAAAAGCGAGAAACAATTTTTGATCAAACGATTCGATTTGTGTGACAATGGCGTCGATTATCCTTGCAAAATTTTCTCGCATTTCGTCACGAAAAAGGACACTCAACTTTTGACAGCCAACATGACTTTGGGTGAAGAGTACGGCCACAACACCAATGTTGGTCCTGAAACTGAAAAACTGAAAGAAAATCAATAATTTGTTTTCAGACTGAGTTGCAAATGTTTACGGTTTTCTCCGAGAAAGAAATTAAAGTGATGGGAGTTAATGATACGTTTTGTAAATTAACAAGGAGGTATTTGGGGCCCTTTATGAACGATTTGGAAAAAGCGGCCCAGATTTTGCCAGGGACTTGCCCGATTCCGAAGGTAAAAATTGCAAAACAGAATTTCTGCTTCATCTATTTACTTTCTAAATAGAATTTTATTTAGTATTAATTTATGTAATGTGGGGGCCTTTGCGCAGTTATGTTCAATTTAATTAGTGTTTGTTGGCGTGGTTTCCGAGATATTGACGAGTTTTGCCGTTAAATTTCGTCGTTATTTAGCTCCTAAGGGGGTAAAAGGAGGCGCGGTTGGCACCTACTGAGTTTTAACATAATTACGCAAAATATAAATTTTATTTAATAAAGTTTCTCATCATTTTCTCTTAAGATTTAAAATAAAAATTGTTTCACATTTTTTTCACATGAAATTTTGAGCTTTTAATATCTCAATTTTTTTGTTGAAACAAAAGTAACAATAAAAATTAATCGAAAAATGTGAGTAATTAAAAAATTCCGAGTTTAAAATGTTTTTTTTTAATATCCAAAATATTTAACACTGAATTATTAAAAGTTTAAGGTTCGATTCCGAGTCTCAAACTTTTTTCTCTCTTCTTTCTTCTCTCTATTCTCTTTTCTCTTGTTGTTTTTTCTTTAGTTTTACTTTAAAAATAAAATTTGCTTTACAAACGATATCATTGCAATATTTTTTATATTATCAATTTTCCCCTCTCCCTTATTATTTGTCTTCTTTCCTTTATTTCTTTCTATTTTGATGATTTTTTTATTTTTATAATTTTTTAAAAAAATTTTTTAATTATTAAAAGTACAATTTTTGGTGTCGAATATTTTTTCTCTATCTTTCTTTTTACTTCTCGCTTTTTTTTCGCTACGAGATTTTTAAAGAAAAATTGTTTCACATTTTTTTGACATGAAATTTTGAGCTTCCAGTATCTCAATTTTTTTGTTGACACAAAAGTAAAATAAATAAAATTAACCAAAAAATGTGAATAATTAAAAAATTTCCAGTTTGCTGTCATTTATTTAAAATGTTTTTTTAATAACCAAAATATTTCACACMGAATTATTAAAAGTTTAAGGTTCGATTCCGAGTCTCAAACTTTTTTTCTCTCTCCTTTCTTCTCTCTATTCTCTTTTCTCTTCTTCAAAAATTGTTTTTTCTTTAGTCTTAATTTAAAAATAAAATTTACTTTACAAACGGTATCATCGCAATATTTTTATACTATCAATTTTTCCCCTCTTCCTTATTATTTGTCTTCTTTCCTTTACTTCCTTTTATTTCGATGATTTTTTTATTTTTATAATTTTTTCAGTTATTAAAAGTACAATTTTTGGTTTCGAACATTTTTTTCTCTATTTTTTTTCTTTTCACTTCTCTATTTTTTTTTCTCTGCGAGATTTTTAAAGAAAAATTATTTCACATTTTTTTGACATGAAATTTTGAGCAAA